CCCTGGTGATGGTGGGTGGTGGTGGTAGCGAGTGGGTGGTGGTGGCGGGTGGCGGATAGGTGGCGGTAGTGGTGGGTGGTCTGGTGGGTGGGTATGGTGGGTAACGGTGGCGGGTGTAAGTGGTAGCGAGTGTGAGGGTGGTGGGTGGTGGTGCAGGTGGGTGGTGGGTATGGTGGTGGTGGGGTGGTGGGTGGTGGGTAGGCGGTGAGTGGCAGGTGGTTGGTGGTGATGGGTGGCTGGTGGAAGCAGATGGTGGATGGTGGTGGCAGATAGGTGGTGAGTGGTGGCGGGTGTGGTGGTGGCGGGTGGGTGGTAGTGGCGGGTGGTGGGGTGGTGTGGCAGGTGAGTGGTGAGTGGTGGTGGCAGGTGGTGGGGGGTGGGTGGTGGATGGTAGTGGCGGAAGACGATGGTGGAAAATGGTGGCGAGTGGTGGCTAGTGTTGAGTGGTAAAAAAAAAAAAACTGAAAACTCAAAATGGAAACACATTTTTTGTGTTTTCATTTTTTGATAAAATTTATAAACTGAGACTACTGATTTATAAATCAAAAATTTTACCAAACAAATTTTTATTTGAGTTTTTAAAATTTTTGTAAATACAAATAGAAAATTGAAAACATAAGTGTTACCAAACAACACCTAAACATTTGAATCTACAAATCCACCATAAACCCATACACCTCCATGTACCCAATACCTCTCTATTCTTACCCATCTACAAATCCACCAAACCCAGGCACCTTCAGCTTTAGATCGACGAAAAAAAAAAAGAAAAAAAAACCAGAAACAGAGCACAATAGCCCTTCATGATCAACAGGATAAGGAAGGCAATACTAAGGATAGTAATTTTAGACTCAAGACCTTTCTAACAATGGCAAGATCTGAACGATAACATTATCGGACTCAAGACCTTTCCATTATTATCGCTCAGCACATCAAGAAGAAAACAGAGACCATATTCACACCGCTGCACAACAACAACAGAAACAGAGACCGTATCAGACTGTATCGGCCCGTGTTGGCCCATATATCGGATTCACGCTGCAATGTACCGGGACTCGGACGCTACGGTTGTGAATTTCGTTCTCATCGGTATACCGGTGAGTATCCGAATCGGAGGTATGATTTTTCGATATGAATTGGCCGGTACCGTACCGGCCGATATTTAGAACTATGGTTGGAAATTGGATTTTGTTTGGTAATTTTTGATCATTATGATGTTCTGCTAATCTAAAATGGATGTTGCAATTGTTGTTTGGCAGCAGAATGGTGGTGGTCGGTGGCTTTGCGTGTGAGTGAGAAAGATGTTGAAAGAGGATAGCAAATTGTCTATTTTGCCCTTGGAAATCAATCACTTGCCATTCACGTGCAAAATTTTCGTCCAATTTCTTGACTTTTGTTGTCAACTAGACTAAAATGATACAGAGTTCAAAATCTAGGGTTAAAATTGAGTCAATTAAAACTACAGGAACCAAAATGATAGAAAGGATAAATTGTAAGAACTTTCGGCATAATTTCCCTAATTACAATTACCTAAACATGCCCTTAGGCATATGAATTACATAAAGGAAAATGGTTTAACCCTTAATACAATAATGACATTCTGCCTACATATAAGATGGCTCTGTGGCAAAAAAGAAAAGAGCTTCGCAACTCTAAGGAATTTTTTGTCTCTACACTTGAAGAGTTATCAACAACATGGGATGAACATAGAGTCTAGTAGGTCCCAAAAGATTGCAAACAATAGCAACATATGGACAAATAGGATCATGAATGCTCCACATAATATATAAATCAATAGTGTTCAATTTTGATATTCAAAATATGCATATATGTAGGTACTCTTTTCCCAAAAATCATTCTTTATCATTCAAGAAGCAATCAAATTCTTATCTTTTCATTTGTTCGTAGAAATTTTGAGAAATACATCACTTTTGATATTTGAAAACCATTTCCACAATATTCTCAACTCTTAAAGCTAAACCAACTAATAAAAGTCATAATTAGACAACAACTCAAAATAGTACCACTACGTGAATTATAATCAACTCTCAACAGGCTATCACATCATTCGACTCACTAGAATCACTATGACAACCTCCAAATCACAATACTCTCAAAGGCATCCATCATGTTTTATGGCCTTAAGCACAAGGGCAAATGGAGCACCTACCACAATATATATGTATCCAACCCTAAATAACATGATAACAACACATACCCATCAACAAGTATCTTTATAGCCATACAAACAAAATAATAATAAAATCTCATAATAAATTAATAACCCGTGGTCTTGCCAAGCTCCATATCACAACCGTGGTCTCATCAAGCCCCACGCCTACCTGCTTTACTAGATGCTAACCGAAAGGAACACATTATCTCTATACAGCATCAACTCGCTTTACCAGTTGCTAGTCGTAAGAATCACATTACCTCTATATAAAACATTGGTCTGCTTTACTGGGTGCTAACGGAAAGAAACGCATTACTTCTACATAGCACTTTCATTCAGCCAACTCATCACATAACACATCATTTTAGATCATACAATCTAACACACGACATTTAATACATATAATCTATTTAGCAACAATAAATACCATCCTTCACCGATGGTCAAGGACAAAACTCTAACAACACAATTCTTATTAAAATAGGTTCAACAATAACAACATTAATCCCAAGACATAAACCCATTTCCATTTCTCAATTAACACAACCATGTATAATCATCTCTTTAAATTTTCAAAACCCAAACCCATTACAACCCATTATCAATACTCATAACATTCATCATTTATTCATAATAAACTATCATTACTCCTTTTATCTTCACATTATCAATTCATTTACAACAACATATGGTTCACCGATTACACAAACATCAACTCTTTTCATCTTTCGTAATCATAAATTAAAATTAGGGCTTTCCAATTCTAGCATTCTAAGCATACTCAATTAACAGATAATTCACATAATCAACCCCAATTACAAGGTTAAACTCAATAAGCACTAACCTACCAATATGGTTTTTTTTTTTATTTTTTTGAAATCACATATCAAAATTATGTTTTTTAGTGTAAAAGAAACTACCACATATGTATTTATAGTAGGGTATTGAAGAAAAATAAAGAAATTCTTACCTTTTGAAGCAAATATAAGAAGCCCAAAAATCAATCTGTAACGAAATCACGATCCAACGAGATCAAAAAAAAGCTCTTGTTGTGCTTTACGCTTTGGTATAAGAGACTAGGGTGAGATTTTGACCCTGGGTAGATGAAACCAAGGGTTAAAGAGCTTGGGAGCTCAGAAATGGCGGTCTAAGAGAGGAGATGGAAGAAATGCAAAAAAATAGGTTTTCATGCGCATTCAACACTTAAAACGATAGACCATAACGGACGCGGTCATCAACATCATAGGTACGACCACAGAGTTTTTTCGCGTGACCAAGCTCATGCAAAAAAGTTGTTTGGTTGTTCCGAAGCCAGTCCATGGCGTTTCAAAGTCCAATCCCAATAAGGTAGGATCAAAGTCAAATAGAACAAACAAATAGTCAAATGGACTCGCAAAGAGGGTCGAGTTTTGACCCAAACCACCACATAAACATTCATATTGTGAAATTTAATTTTTTATTTTACATAATTACAAATTCATGTGAAATATTATTTGATAGATCTTGTTAAACAAGTTTAAAAATTTTGAATTTCATCAAAAATAAATATGTACAATAAAAGTTATGAATTTTTAAAATTTAATATACAAAAATTTTAAAAATAATACAAAATTGGAGCACACCATAAGAACGTATGAGATTGCTAAGGGTTAAAAAATATCTATAATAATAAAATTGTTCAAACTCAAGTACGGAAATTACAATTCAATGGATCAAATTTCAAAATAATAAAATTTATTATAAAATAAAAATATCTTATAAATTAATTAAGAATTTCACTAAATTTTCTTAAAATATATTAAAATAAATTATTTATATAATTTCACTAAATTTTCTTAAAATATATTAAAATAAATTATTTATATAATTTCACTAAATTTTCTTAAAATATATTAAAATAAATTATTTATATAATTTCACTAAATTTTCTTAAAATATATTAAAATAAATTATTTATATAATTAAATAATTTTTAAAAGTAGAACACAAATTTCTGTTTTAAAACTTTACACAAGCTAGTTCCCAAACTCTCTCTCTCTCTCTCTCTCTCTCTCTAAACAGAGCTCGTTTACAATGAGAGCAACGTTACGTCGTTCTCTCCTTAACTCCACTCTCAGAAACTCTCTCCTCTCTTCTCCTCCATTTCTCTCCATTTCCTCCTCCTCCTCCTCCTCCTCCGCCACCAACCACCTCTGCTCCTCCCAACAAAACCCCACAACCCTACCTCCACCATCCCCCAACCATACCTCCCCAATCTCTAACCCTAACCCTAGAACTCGAACTCCTCTCGAGAAGCAATTCGAGACATGGGTCGACAAGCTCAAACCCGGCTTCAGCCCGTCCGATGTCGACGAAGCCCTCCGCTCCCAATCCGATCCCGATCTCGCCCTCGACATCTTCCGCTGGACTGCCCAGCACCGCCACTACAAACACAACCACCTTACCTACCTCACCATGATTCAAATTTCCGTCTCCGCCAAGCGTTTCTACCACGCCCAAACCCTAATCGAGGAAGTCATCGCCGGAGCCTGCTCTCCCAGCGTCCCACTCTACAATTCCATGATTCGGTTTTGCTGTGGCCGTAAGTTTCTCTTCAATCGTGCTTTCGATGTTTACAAGAAAATGTTGAAATCTGATGACACTAAACCCTCTTTAGAAACCTACACATTGTTATTCAATTCCCTGCTTAGGAAATTCAATAAGTTGAATGTATGTTATGTGTATCTGCACGCCGTTCGATCTTTAACCAAACAAATGAAGGCTGCTGGTGTGATACCGGATGCTTTCGTATTGAATATGATTGTAAAGGCCTACTCTAAGTGTCTTGAAGTTGATGAAGCCATTCGGGTTTTTCGGGAAATGGGATTGTATGGATGCGAGCCGAATGGGTATACGTATAGTTATATAACCAAGGGTTTGTGTGAGAAGGGGAGGGTGAGCCAGGGTTTGGGGTTTTATAAGGAAATGAGAGGTAAAAATTTGGTGCCCAAGAGTAGTACTTACATGATTTTGATTTGTAGCCTTGCTATGGAACGGAGGTTTGAAGATGCTAATGAAATTGTTTTTGATATGTTGGGTAATTCTATGGCGCCAGATTTGTTAACTTATAAAACTCTCTTGGAAGGGTTGTGCAGGGAAGGGAGAGGTAGTGATGCTTTTGATCTGCTTGAAGAACTGAGGAAGAAGGATAGTATGATGAATGAGAAGACTTACAAGACTTTGTTGAATGGACTACATTTTGTAAGTGGAGATTAGATGTTATACACTATTCCTCAATACTGTCCTTAATATATAGATGTCTTTTATTTGATTCAAGAACTCCATAGAAGTTCAACCAATGTTTGAGCAAAACAGGATATGAGCATTGTTAAGTCTGTTTGGGAAATTTGGATTGCTGGCATGTTCTTTTGAACAGACTGATTTGTACTGCAGCTGACAAGTACTGAAAGAAGGGAAGATTTCTAGGTGTTTGAAATATCTTCCTGATTAATAAAATCTATGATTCAGATTGGCCCGTGATTATCAAAATACTGCTAAGATGAGTATGTATAATCACTCTCGCCAACTTTTATTTCTTCACCATTGACAAGAATGACCAGAATCTGCTATTGGTGATAGAGGAGAAATTCAATGGGATTGTGATATGTTAGCATGATTCTCAGCCTTGCCCAATTGCAACAACACTGTTTGCAACGGAAGACTGTTATGGAACAGGTAGTGTGAAGTTGGTTTGCAATCGGGATTTGACCCTGTCTGTCCATCACAGAACTGATAAATGGGCATGACACTGGCTGCAATAGCAGTGTTGTTCTTGAAGAACCCAGGGGTTTATCTATCCAGTGCTGTGGTAATTATGATACTCCATTACAATCAGTGGTTGAGATCTTGAAATGCAGAATGGACATCTAAACCATGAATGTTCTTCTTGATCAGAACCACGATGACAGGTTTAAAACGAGTGGAATCTATACTATGGATAAGATGGACATTGTTAGATTATTGGTGAATTACTTTGTAGTAGGTTGTAAGTTATTGTTTGCTACAATGAGGATATTTATAATATGAGTCAACGTTGAATAATCTTCTATCCTATGCAGTTGCACAATTGGCATGAAAAATTTGGGTTCAAATAGTGATATGGTTGTGCAAGACCCTTTCTTTCATGTTCCAAGTATTGAGTTTTTTTACTGATTCTATCTATTATATTGAATGAGCTACATGTAAGCGGAACTGTTTACGTTTGCAATAAATCCATGTAATCCCGCTATGAAATTATTATAATTATCTTTTGGAAGAAAGATGTTAATGGTAGATCGTTACAATAGTCCTGTTATAGATGAATCTGTGTGACTATGTCACACTTCCAATATTTGTTCTCCAGACCTCTTTGCTTATGTTGGAAGGTATTTACATCCCCCACACTGGCTTCTTCCCTGCAAGAGAGGTTCAAGGCCATGGTCAAGTCTCTTAAAGGGAAGAGAATTAATCACTCAAGGACTAAGATGGCTGGTGCATGCTGGCCAATTATTCAAGTTTTGGAGTAGCAAATGGATTCCGGCAAACAAAAATTTCAAACTTTAGTTCCCAAAACCTCTAGTTGCTCCTGGCCATATGAATCCTCATTTTTAGCACACTGGGACGCAAAGCTCATGATGGCTAGTCAGTCAGGTCTTGGGTCATCTGGTCACTCTTTACAAGTTTCCGAGTTTGACCCCTTGTGAGAGTGCAACAGTTATCTATGTTATTAGGACCTGAACTGAGACTTTTGGTCATCTTCAGTCTGGGCCCCTAGATTGGCCAATGGAGCCAGCTTCTTGGTTGGCCAAAATCCCCCAGGTCTGTTCCTTTATACTGGGCTTCTTCCACCCCTCAACAGCTCTGGTCTGTTCTCGTTTGATTATGTTTCTGTTTCTTTGTAGCTTGTTTTGGATTGTGTCATAAAAAATAAAAAGGAAGACCTCATTGTATGGTTACTTTGCATTTCAATTGATTCAATGCTTTCCAATCCAAAAATTTGTCCTATTACTTCCTCAATTTCCTTTTTTTTGGGTCCCAATATGGGCATAAGCGCAATGCCTACATTGGATAATATATAGAATTTCAACACTCTTACCATACCTCAACTGCGTTGGCTCGATCAAACCCAGTCCGAAGTTGACTAATGAAAAAATGTGCATAAAATCTTATCACATAGCGGGAAAAAGGAATATAATAACAAAATTTGTTGATGATACTTGTCATAAAATATAATGTTAATTTCTAATTCCACCTCTTCGTTTTGAGTTCTTACATCGAGGGCCGTAGAACATCAAAAGATGGAACTCAGTTCCTCGATATATAAACAAACAAATTTGAAAATAGAAGACTATATAAGTTTGAATTGGTTCCTCCAAAAAAAAAAAGAAAAGAAAAGAAAAAAAAGTAAAGAATTGAATTGAATTGAATTGAATTGAATTGACGAATAGGTCAAAAAATGAAATAAGAAAATGATTCGTGCAGTACACACTAAATTGAGTCTCACAACCATTGTATAAACAGTATAGAAACCTGTCTCCATATTTGTTGGTGCCATGGTACATGTTTGTTGACTTGTAGTCATCGGCCATCCTTTGAACTAAATGAGCTTGCAAACCCAGAAGGTTTATTAGGCATGCTTGAAGATGTGTAACCACTATTATAGTAATCGCTAGTCATTGTGGAAGTACCTTCACCGGCTTGCCATAGCTGTAAGACTTGAGGAAGGCTGGTGTGAAAGTCAATGCCGAAGCTATCTTCTTCATCAGGATTGGTGGGTTTCCATTGGTCGACAAGGGGAGACAAGACAGTCACCGCATGACCCATGTCAGGGCGTTGAAATGGCTCGCGAGCAGTGCAGTGTCCAGCCAGTTCTGTTACTTTGATGATGCTCTCATAGGTTTCTTCATCTGGATCTAGCGAGGGGTCTATAGATTTCCTGATGTTGTCTTTGTTAATGATGATCCTTCGGAACCAGGTAACTAAATGACTTTTCTCTTCTGGCATGCTCTCATCCAATGCTTTTCTACCAGTGATCATCTCCATCAAAACCACCCCAAATGCAAATACATCAACCTTTGTTGTTACTTTTCCAGTGGCTGCAAGGAAAAAAAAGAAGAAGAAGAAGATAATGGTTCAACATTCATATCATAGGATTTGATGCAGACCATACTGGAAATACTACTTTAGGCTAAGGTCTATTTGGTTGTCCCAAAATATGAATTGGTGGTAATTTTGAAATTAGTTCATTCAGAAATTAGATGTGTATTTGGTTGGAAAATAACGCAAGTAAAAATATCTCTGAGTTTTTCTAAATTTGATAGTTCATTTTTAGAACATATTAACTAACCTAAAACTGAAAGATTCAGCTTATGTTCTACTCAATGCTTACAGAAGAACTTAAATTGCCTCTTCTACTAATTGGAAAATTTTGAATTAGTTAATTCAAAATGGAATAAGTATTCGTGCAGTCAAACAAGCCCAAAATCTTTGCAAATTATAGAGCACATTAAGACCAATATGAAATGTTACGAATAAAATGATCAATGCAGTACCATAACTGGAAAAGAACTACTGATCATGGACTTCTTGTACTTACCAGCATATTCGGGTGCTAAATATCCAAATGTACCGGCCAACCTTGTCTCCACGGAGTACTTCCCATCGGGCGCGTTCTTCACCAAGCCAAAATCAGAAACTTTGGCTCTTATGTCGTCTCCAAGAAGTATGTTAGAGGGTTTTAGATCTCTGTGGATGAAACTCTGTTGTGCTAAGCTATGTAAATATTCAACCCCTCTAGCAACATCCAGGGCAACTGTGACTCTTTCCTTCCATGTAAGCGGTGAAAACCCCAGTTCTTTGTAATTGAACAGATGTTGTCCCAATGTCCCTTGAGGCATATACTCATAAACCAAAAGCCTCTCACTTCCACTGACACAAAACCCAATAAGGGCCACTAAATGCCTGTGTCTAACCTTCGTCAGGACTGCAATTTCTGCTTGGAACTCACTAAGCCCCTTCGAGCTCACCACTGTTGCTTCCATCCTCTTCACCGCGATTTGTGTCCCATCTTGGAATTTTCCTTTGTAAACAACCCCAAATCCACCCTGACCTAAAATGTTGTCTTCACTGAAATTGTTTGTCACTTCTCGAAGCACCTCTATGGGGATGGTAACGTTGCCGCCATCATAGACATGAATATCATTGTTGTCAGCACTGCCTTGACTGGGTAGTTCACTTCCAAAACCATTCACAACACCATTTGCACCACCATTCTTCAGCTTTTTATTCGCTTTTATAGAGCTTTCAACCAATTTGCGCTTCATCACAAACATTCTGTAAATCACCAATGACAAACCTACTATAAAAATCAAAGCTGCAACAATGGCAGCAACAATAACCCACAACGATGTAGATGATGATGAGTTTTGTGTTTCTACTACCGGAGTTCCACTTCCACTAGATGAACCATTTGTCCCATTTGTTCTGCCTGATGATGAACTTCCACTAGGGGAGCTAGAACTACTACTGTTGGAAGAACTTCCACTTCCATCTCCAGCATGCACGTCTTTTCCAAGTAATGGATTACCTGAAATCTTCACTTTCACACCCGAACCAAATTTTGGTACTTGACCCGAAATATTATTGTTAGAGACATCAAGAAGCCGAAGCAGTGCCAATTTTGTCAAGCTGGAAGGTATAGGACCGGTGATGTCATTATCATTCAAAAGCAAACTTGTCAATGTAGTGAGGTTAGCAATGGCGGGTGATATAGTCCCACTCCAACCTTGTTTCCCGAAATTAAGCACCGTAACGCTGCCCCTGGAATCACAAGAAATCGATATCCAACCCTTGCAAGGGTCATTCCCGGACCAAGAGTCAGCCAATGCCATTGGGTAACCCAAAGCCCCTACAATCTCAAGCAATGTGGTGACTTGTGGATCACAAGGACCCGGTTTTGAATTACAAAAGTTGTTTGTTTGGCCAAGATTCACCACAACACCCTTGCCAAAACTAGGTACTGGACCTTGCAACTTATTGTTCTGCAATGAAACATTAACTAAGTTTGGAAGAGTAGTTAGAGAAGGCAAGACAGGGCCAGTTAAATCGTTATCGCGAAGCGAAAGATCAAATAGCGAGGTACATCCTGAGAGATCTGGAATGGGACCTGAAAATTGGTTCTGATGAAGCCAAACTTGAGTTAATTGAGTCATTGAACTAAGAACATCGATCGTACCTGAAAGACCAAGCTCTTGATTGTTGAGCCAAAGGTTCTGAATCCCTGATTTAGCAAATGAAGGTGGTAAAGGACCCGTAAGATTGTTGTAAGAAAGCCTAAGGTTCTGAAGATTTGGGAATGATTGGAAAATGTCTGGTATTGTTCCAATGAGGTTAGATTGGGGTGCGTAAAGGGTATTCAAGGTTGTGGAATCAGAAAGAGTTTGAGGGAGAGTCCAAGCAGGGAGATTGGGGTTGTTCCCGATGCTTAAGGTTTGCAAGGTTGTGAGGCCAGAGAGGAATTGAGAGGGAATAGAAGTGAAATTATTGTTATCAAGAAAGACTTGTTGGAGAGAAGCAAGGTTGGAGAGGGAAGGAAAGGAACCAGAGAGGTGGTTTCGTTGGAGAGAAATAGATTTGAGGTGAGAGAGGTAGTTTAATTCGGAGGGCAATTTGCCAGAGAGTGAGTTGGAGGCAAGGCTAATGGAGGTGACATGGCCAGAGGAGTCACAGGAGATGCCGGACCAATCACAATGGTCGGAAGTAGAGGACCAGCCAGAGGGGGTTGGGGAAAGGGATTTAGCCAGTTTAGACATGGCGGAAGATTCATCTTGGGTGGTGGTAATAGTGGACAAAGAGGAGGTGGCAGAAGAGACTGAAATGGTGGAGGAGGCGGAGGACAAAGGGATTATTATTATTGTTATGACAAGGAAGAATAGTAATCTTGGATATGTTTTGTCGTCTTCTTCCATTGTGGTGGTGGTGGTTGTTGTTTCTCTTTTTGCACCATTGTTTGTAACATAAGAGAGAGAGAGAGAGAGAGAGAGAGAGGGAGAGAGATGGGGAGAGAAAAAGAGACAAGTTTTGTTTTGGTCGATGCTAAAAATGAGGGTATAGGAGAGGAGAGAGAAGGAAAGGGAACCGGTCTTGGGGAAATTAAGAAGCGTTACTTGGAAAATTGGTTAGGAGTTGGAGCTACGAATTACCTTCATCAAAAATGTACATTATTAATGTAGTAGATTCTATTATTAAAGTCAATCATAATAGTCGGAAGTATTATATGACATATATTCTATTCGCATATAAAAACTATTCGGAGTTAAAGGATTAGTTTTAGAATTATGATTTAAGTTTGGTGTTGTAATTTTAGTGTGGAATTGTGAGTTGAGTTTTGAAAAGAAAAAATTTGTTTGATTATAAGTTTTAAAAAAAAAATTGAAAAGAGTTTTGAATTTTTAAATTTTGATGATTTTACCATCCTAGTCCTGGTCTAGCATGTGGAGTATGGTTTATTTTGATGATTTAAATGTTTTAACTACTAAATTATAATTGATAAAAAAAAAAGTATATTAATTTAATAAGTACAATTAAGTGATTGTATTATATATTAAATTTTTTAAAAATAGTTATAAATGTTGTAAATTCATGTCAACTCTATCTTATTTTTCTTAATTAAAAAAAAAAGAAAAGAAGAAAAAGAAGTTTGCATACATATGATTAAAAAATAATTAATTTGAATCATTACAATTGAATCTACAATAAACTTGTGTTGTACTAAACTAAAAGTGTTTGATTCTCTTAGATGACATGAGAGAAATTGCTTTCATTTTGGAAATATATGATTTGTTGGGTTTTGAACTTTGGGTCCATTTCTCTCAAGGTGGTGGGAAGACTTGAAGTATCGAGTTAATATCTCTTTTAATTTTGTTACAGGTTACATGTTGGTAATTTGATTTGTTTAATTTTTAGATATTGATATGTGAATTATTCGTGAAACAAAATAGGTTGATTATATAATTATAGACATATAATTTCATCAATTTACCTTCAAATAATAAATGGGCTACAAGTATAATTAGGTAAATTATAAATTAGTTCTTTCAGCTTTTATCTAATTTTTCAATGTGAACCTCAAATTTTAAAATTTTCTATTTAAGGTCTCTAACTTTCATAATTAAGTCAATGTAGTCCAATCTATTATTAAATAAGAAAACTTTGTTTTTATGTCATATTTGGTGGATAATCTATCCATAGGGACGTAAAAGTTAAACAGATTGGATCATCAAAGTGGGCCTTGTAATGGGCCTATAAATCCTAAATTAAATGGTCAAATATTCTCTACAAATGGATAGAAATTTTCAAATAGATTTGAAACATCACTCGATCATGTATCCGGCCAATAGTGTTTCATAATTATTCAAAATTTTGAAACATATATACCCATAGTTCCATGATATTAGACCAACACATAACTAACGGGGTGTTCTATAGCAAAAAGACAAAATAATTACTCATCACCATCGGATAAAACTTTTCAGGAGAAATTACAAAGTAACTCTAGAGTTTATCTTTATAACAAATTAACCTTAAGTTTTTAATTTGTTCAAATAAAATCCTGCATTTTCAAATTGCGCACAATTTACACCATAGGTCTGTTCCATTAATTAAAACTAACGAAAATGAGAATTTTTTTTTTTTTTTTTTTGGGGTCTATTGGTGCCAATCTTTTTTTCTTATTTGGAAGCTGCGCTAAATTGATAGCATTGCACTTCTTTGAGTTTTCATCCAAAATACGTATCCAAATCTTGCTCATGTGATGGCCATTCAAGGACATGAGATTATGAAATTTTTTGCCTTCATTATCACTTGGATAATTTAAATGTTTAATCCTTCTCGTGCTTTGGTTGTCTATAAATTAATTTTTATTTTTTATTTTGTGTGAGAGCTTGCATTCCTAGTATGGAAAAACTTGAATTACAGATGCTACCATAGCCACCATCGCAGTTGCTATTCACCACCACTGCCGCCACCGTCCACCACCTTCACCAACCATCTCTACTGTCGTTGATCTACCACCACCACCGATCATCAACCACCTCCACCGCCACTGATCTACGCTCTATTTTCTCAATCTTACACTCCATCATCAAAGATCGACCGGAAACAATCTTGAGAATCTTGCCGAAATTTGAAAATCTTTTCAATTTTTTATTTTTTGGTTTTGTTTTTAGCATTTTTTTTTTTTTTGGAATTTTCAAATCTCGCCCTTCTTTCTTTATAGATCTATCAGCTTCTTATAAACTAATGTTTGAAGAATTCTGTCAGTGATAAATTTATCGCTAAACGTAACTTTAATTTTTTTGTTGATTTTATATTGATCTATGATGGATTCATTTTTTTCCTCAGTGATAAATTTATCAGTATCTATTGTTTCCTATGTGTATGTGAGAGGAGGATGGATTCTTGTAAGTGAGTGAACATGAGTAAGAGTGAGTGAATCAAATTTATTTTAATTTTTTTAGAAATCGATCGGTGATAAATTTATCACTAAATGTGTTTCTAATAAATTTAGTAAATTAGTCTGTGTTAAATATGTCTATGTAGTTGTATTTTTTGTGAGTAAACAACAGTGAGTCTGTGTGTGTAAATATGAATGAGTGATTGAGTAGTAGAGGTGGTGGCAGTAGTAATGTAGTGGTGATAGATGTTATTTTTGTTAAAACAATTCAAAAAAATGTCGCTGGAAATTATCGCCGAAGGTAATCGTTAGTGACCGATGGTGGTTATTGGCGGAGGAGGAGAGTGTTAATAATAGGGATGAAGAAGGTGAATGAAGGATATTTTAAGAATATTGATAGGTGCAAAAATGAATATGACTTATAGGTAAATAAGTCTCCTCAATAGGATCCACTTGTAAATCTTTAAAAAAAATTAAGTGAGGCGCTTAAAACAAATTTAAATTATAATTTATTTTTTAAATTCTTTTTTCTTCACTGGTTAAAATACAAAACTATTAATGATGGAGTGAACGTGGAGTACAATGATACTTATAAAATATATAATAATGATAAGATAATTTGTTTTGATATATATAAAATTCAATTTATTCAAATTTAATTTTGCATACTTTTTCTTTTTTTCCAATTTCATTTTTACCGTTGCCTTTTTTTTTATTATTATGTATTTATTTATAAAAAAATAATACAGAGATAGGTGATAGATGTTATTTTTGTTAAAACAATTCAAAAAAATGTCGCTGGAAATTATCGCCGAAGGTAATCGTTAGTGACCGATGGTGGTTATTGGCGGAGGAGGAGAGTGTTAATAATAGGGATGAAGAAGGTGAATGAAGGATATTTTAAGAATATTGATAGGTGCAAAAATGAATATGACTTGTAGGTAAAGAAAAATGCTTGGGAGCACTAATTAGTGCTCCCACTAATTAGGTGGCAGTGGGTCCCGCCATTAATGATGTGATGTTTTGGTCTTTGAGTTGTATTTTTTTTTTTTTACTTTTTTAATGCATTAGTGCTATTAGTGGTGATATTTTTAGTGGGATGAATCATTGCTGTATAGGTAAATAAGTCTCCTCAATAGGACCCACTCGTAAATCTTTAAAAAAAATTAAGTGAGGCGCTTAAAACAAATTTAAATTATAATTTATTTTTTTAATTCTTTTTTCTTCACTGGTTAAAATACAAAATTATTAATGATGGGGTGAACGTGGAGTACAATGATACTTATAAAATATATAACAACGATAAGATAGTTTGTTTTGATATATATAAAATACAATTTATTCAAATTTAATTTTGCATACTTTTGCTTTTTTACCAATTTCATTTTTACCGTTGCCTTTTTTTTACTATTATGTATTTATTTATAAAAAAATAATACAGAGATATAAAAAAAAAAATATGACTTCTTTCGAACGGAAGCCTCAGAGGAGTGCCTAGCTTCTTAATGGTCCACCAACTATGGGCATAGTGATGTTATTATGCCAAAGTAGTTACCAATTTCCAAACGAGCCCTAATTCCATGCTCTACTCTCAACCGCAACTCCTTTTGCTACAATACCAAGCACCAAGCAAGCAGACTTGGAGGTGCTGTTGTCCCTTCAAGGCACAGTAGTTTACTGTACCCCACTGTGGGAGTTTATTCCGAATATTTTTTAATAATTTGAACAATTGATATTGTAGGATTCGTTAAGAATTTTATTCATATAAAAAATTAAGTTAATTGGATATTCATAACTTTATAATTTGGTCTTAATTGTTTTTAAAAATTTATGAAAGTTATGTTAACTGATAATTTTTATAAAAATAAATGTGTTTTAGTTATAGGACTATAGATATCTAATCAATTTTATTTTTTACATGAATAATCTACTCGATGAACCTTATAATATGAACAATTCAAATTATCGAAAAAAACTCGAAACGACGCTCCCCACAAAAACATAACAGCCTGCTGTGCACACAACAAGATCCCCAGATCCCAAGCAATGAGCCTTGCCTGCGTCTTAAAGTGGTCTCCTCATAATGCTTTTTAATTTTTTTTAGGAGCAATAATTATCAGAAAGTAGGATTCTTTTTTGAAATTACAATAGCAGTGGAGAGTACAAAAATAATTATTAATGCATGATTTTACTTTCGACCAATATATCTTTTTCATCTTTTCTTTCGATAAAAAATGAGGAGTTTAACCTATGGAGAAAAATCCCTTTCAGCCCAAATTTTGGATTAAAAGGTGCTGTTTGGGTTCATGGGGCCCATAATGAGTCTCGTTTCGATAATCCGAATTGTTCATTTTGTCAAGTACTTCGTATGTTTCATCCACACAAAAAATTAGGTCGATCTGATAATTATAACTTGTTCAATTTTTCACTAAAAAAATACACAAAAATTGTGTTTTTAAAAATAAACCAAACATTTTTTCAGTGATAAACGTAATAAATTGAACAAGTTACAGTTATCGAATCGACCTAATTTTTTTTTTTTTTTGTGGACGAAATACACGAAATACCTGACAAAATAAACTGTTCAGAATACAG